CTGATTCCCATTTAAAAGCACCTGTTCTCAAAGGCAGACATTAGTGAGTACTAAGCACTATAAAACCCAGTCCTCAGGGTGGCCTTAAGGAAGTGCTCCCTCCCACTTTGCACTGAGGACAGGGGTTCCAGCTGCTCAGAGGTAACCCACTCACCAGCCCAGCAGGCTCCACACTGGTCACAGATGGGCCTGGTGCCACCGCCATGACGCTGCACAGGAAACTTCCTGACCCAACCACTCCACTGCCCTTGTCCCATGGGAACACTGGGAGCATGCCCCCTTCCCGTCATCCTCCAGGCTCTCAGCAACCTGGCACACCACCACACTGCCACAGAAGGGTGCCCGCCCTTTATCACCGAGGATCAAGGAGTGCTGTCTGTACCTCCAGTAAAATCTAGTCTGTGCTGCCAGATGCCAGATGGTTCCGTCCATGTCTTCTGGAGACGATCTCATTAAATATCGCAAAATATTAAATATTAATAAACTCTTGTTTTAAAGTATTAGAAATAACACAACAGATTTTTATAGAGCCACCAAAAAGGAGCCTAAGTGTAAGAGAAGTTTCCGGTTTCCCAGTGAATCATAGAATTCCTTGTGTTTGGGAACCTTAAGGTGACCAGACGGGGTGTCAGCCTCCTCTCAGTTCTGCTGTGACTGCGGAACCGTCTAGGCTTCCCGTGGGGCAGACAGGACTGCAGGGCTCAGAGTCCAGACCCCACCGGCAGGGAGAAGTAAGCATCCATCTAGCCGTCTGAGCAGGGCAGTTATGGACATTTAGGTTTTAACCAAGCAACTGACTTCAGTGCCACCAAGAAAAGTACAGTGTGGGACAAATGTCACATGTAGAGATGAAGTCAACAGCCAAGGTGGGGGTAGGAGAGGGAAGAAATGCTCCAACCGAGTTGGAACAAAACCACTGGCCTCCGTTTCTGGCCCAGGAGTTTCCAGAGGAGGAGCTCACAAACAGCCTGCCTCCTTAGTCCTTTCTCTAATTTACCCCTGACGCCACCTTCTTCAAGCTATTTTTAGCACAGGCGTACAGGGCACCCTGAGTGAAGGCCTCACCTTGTCTGCCCTGCTGGGACTCTGGCTATCTTTAATTAATGCCCGAGGAACACAAGACCAGCCTTTCTCAGGGTGGTGAAAGGCTGCACAATGGTGAAATTCTACCTTGTAGGACTGACAGGCCAGCTTCTGGCCACCATGCCTCAGGTCCCGGGGCTGTTTTCTGTTGAAAAGTCAGTGCCATCTGGACCATTTAGAGAGCAGAGAGACAATTTGCACCATCAAGTCAAGAGAAACCGGCCTGTGCTCTTTATCCAGTCCTGCTTCCCAGAGCACAGACGCGGTTTCACCATGAGACATTTCTGACATTGTTCCAAGTTCTACTGAGCAGCACTTTCTGGTAGGCGTGGCTTCACAGACCCCTTCCCTCAGACTGCCCCCACAAGTGAGCCATCTTTCAGTGTGGAACGTGGCTGGAGACCTTCCGGACAGAAGGTCTCCAGAAACTGCTCAGCGCGGCTCCTCCCTGCACTCTGTGTGGCTCCTCCCTCCAGGCCTCCAGTCCACACTGTCAGCAAAGATGAAAACGGGATCTGGTCGTTTTGCTGCTATGGTCTTTCCCTACTGTAATCCTCAAGAGACAAACGTATTAAAACTTTGAAACCATGACTTGCAGCCATCCAGGTGTGGCTTTATTAAATCAGAGATGCTAATCATATCTGTGAAAGCAAACTGAATGTGCTGTGGATCCCGAGATAATCCAGTCCTCTCCCACCAAAGCCTACACTGTGAGAAGATAAAACGCTACCACCGAGGGGAACAAGCCCAGAGCCACAGGGTTTCCAGGTCGGTGACAGGTGTGACATGCACGCTGCCCAGTCCTGAAAGGAAGGACTCCCGCTAAGTCAAGCAAAATGCAACCTGAGCACATGCTAACATTCCACCCAGCCTTACCACAGTCTACAGCAACCCCGCCTCCTCATTCCACTCCATTAAACCAAGCAGGCCTATTTACCTAAGAGTCCATTAGTCCATTTAAAAACGCAATTCTCCAATGATCTTTTAGCTGATGGAACCATATGGCTCTCTTCACATTTGTTCGAAGTACTAAACTAAAACCTTTACCGGCCTAAGCAAAGGCCAGCCCACCACACTGAAGAGTTCACACCCTCATTCTGTCATGGGGGTCCCCACCAGGATGGCTCAGACTCCCACAGGAGACCAGTGTGTGTGAGACAAACGGCTGCAAGCAGTTAATAGCGCTCATCTCAATGGGTGATGGACTGGGATGGACTGTAGCAGGGACCCAGCAGAACCTGTTTCCCTCCCACTTTATCAATTAAGTTTACCAGGGAAGTAATCATTGCCACAAAATGACCACACCAAAAGAGAACTACCGGTCGGAAATCTCGGAATGTAGTTACTGAGGTGGCCGCTGACTAGGCGGTGCTGGCAATGGCACTCTGACCCCAGCACCTGTCTGTGTCTACTGCCCAAACTTCCGGTCACAAGTCATCAGATTTAATTGTTTACCACGCATGTAAAATGTCAGAGCCCTGAGAAACTGCCTTCCCTTCAGACAATGAGTCGTCGTCATCGTCCCGTCCCCACTCCCCGTGAGACAACCGTTGTCAATGTCTTCATAAAATGTCTTCCTAATCTGAGGTAGAAACTTCAAATCACCTGCAGCAAACGGCTGAAAAGCTGCTAGAGATTTTCTTGTGAGTTTGTCCTTTTTGCAGTCTATATTCTCAAGTCAGCTGAGCCCTCTGATGGGATTATACTTTGAGACCTTAGAGATGGGCAGGGACACCAAAAAACTTACGCAGTAATCAGACTCCCAAGTGCTCTGACAGCAACTACAGAGCTGAGGAGAGGAAGGGTCAGCTGACCTGTCCATGGCCAAGTCCTCACACGTGCTCAGAAATCCGCCCCCAAGCTGGGGGCGGGGCGGGCAGGTCCTTAATCTCACCTGCACTTCCAATACTAGCATCCTTAAGAGACACTGGTTGTGAGCAAACGCTGACCTAGGCACGGGACGCTACAGCTTCAAGTGGCACACCCTATAAAGACAGTCATCTGTAGACTAGGGCTCCCTGTGCACTACCTACTACTCACAAGCAGCAATGCTCCGACAAAGATGTAATGCCTTCAGACGGTTACCCTCTAGAAGTGTTTAAGCTACACTAAAAAGACATCCGTTTGAAAAGGGAGGATTTCCAGGTCCCAGGCAACAGGAGACAATCCAAGTTTTATGGTTTAGGGGAAAAAATAAAAAGCTCACTGACTGATGAACTTGCACATTCAGACAGCAAGCAGTCTTCCCCACACAACTTTTCTGATACAGTTCCCACAGCGGAGCACACCAAGTCCTGAGTGACAGTGAGCCGGTGAATGAACCCACATGGAGGGGGCACGCAGGAACCTGCCCGCCCCCGCCAGGAGTCTGTACTTGGCTCCACCCACCTTCAACTATTGTCAACATTCTGTCCAAGCTCACAGACACTCACCAGGGCAGGCGCTCTAGTGAAGCAATATACCAGGAATTTAAACAGAGGGTCTTGTATCAAAGACTGGAAATGTCACTTTCACTGGCACCAGCCCGGAACGTGACTTATAACAACTTAAAAATAAAACATGAAGAATGCAGATGTGGATTCCATACAGGCCAGCAGCAATATCATTGCTCAAAGAGCTAGTTCAATTTCGGACTGTATTTACGGACTGCAACAAAGTTGCTATTCGGCAAGGAAACTAGTACCACAGATACTGTGGCAGCAAGAGTGTACTCACGACCTTTGAACTTCCCCATCCCCCCACCGGACTAAGAGCCGAGGCCTTGTCACACTGGGTGGTGGAAGGAACAGGACAGAAAGGAAGGAGACTGAGGTCCCCACATGTCTGAGGAACACATCTGTTCTGTTTACTTCCAGCCAACCAGGAAGAGAATCGAGAAAGAAGAACTTAGCTGAACCCAAGAAAGAACAAGTCAAGATCCTGGATGCTCAAAAACGCTCTGCCCACCCCTCCCCCAAGCAGGGAAGTGAACGGGTCACCCCCACGCAAGGCCAAACCTGGCTATCCATGCAGTCTTCCACCAGCCCAGGACGCTCCAGGAGACCGCCTGCCCCCACACCTCCCCCACACTGGACCTCCATTAGCAAGGCCGCATTCCTAACAGCAAAACCTCCCCATCTCAGTCAATAGAGCCATTATATCGGAGGCCCGGCTAGTGAGGGACCTCAGGTCAGGCAGGCATAACTGCCACAGTTCACAAAAAATAATCTGCAAAGTCAGTACTTCACAAAAGCCGGTAACACCAACTACTAAAAGCACACTCTGACTCACTGATGGCTAATTCTCTGCTCTCAGATGTGAGCGTTCCTTATTTTCGTCCCAACTAGCTTCCCTACACCATTTTCCTAAAGAACAGCTCAAATGTCAGTTGGCTGATAAATTCCAAACTCAGAGAAAGGAGAGCTGGGTCCCTGAAGGCAGAGGACCTCTTAGGGCCTTTCACGAGAAGCTGGCACAGGAAGTTCCTGTGCTGGCCCAGCTTTGTGAACAGGGCTGGTTGGCCAAACTGCCCGGCCACAGCAGGGTCTGAGGGGAAAGCCTGATCTGCCTTTATTCCCAGGCACCCATTATCCCTATTGTTCTCCTATCTCTGCCAGCACTGTAGAGATGCCTAGCCCGGTTCAGGTCCCCTGCTAATCCCGCCCCAGTCCCCAAGCTTATGGAGCAGAGCAGCCGATTTCCCTGCCTACTCAAGTTCTCAAATGACAACTACATGGACCAGCTTCCCTGAGTACAAGGAGCAATCTAGCAATCCCCTGGACACTCTCTAATGAAAGTCCTAACAGTCCAGTGGCCTAAGGGTCCCCAGACATGGAGAACGAACGGGAGTCTGAAACCAGAGACCGGTAGGCCAATTGCTTTCATCCTAAACAAAATATCCCACACCGCCACCACCAGCTGTGCAGGCCAGGCTTTACCTTTCTGAACATGGATGATGTCAGGGAAGTTGGCCAGGTGCCCCTGATACAGGGCTAACAGGTCCATGACTGGGTCCAGGTCCTGCCTGGGCTGCTCGGCGAAGAGTTCGCCGATGGCGTCGTAGGCATCTCCGGTGAAGGCGATGGCCTGGTTCAGGCCCACCGAGAAGGCCTGCTGATCCAGTTCGAAGGCTTGGCTGAGGCCCCGGAAGGACTGGCCCACCTTCTGATACTCCTTCTTGAAGCCAGTCGCCTGCTTGCGCGCGAACTCGTTGGCGGTGTGGTTGAGCTGCAAGGCGCTGTCATCCATCTTCTTGGTGAAGCATTTGAAGCCATCGATCTTGCTCTCCACCTCCTGCAGATCCAGGGCGGCGGCAGGGGGCGTGCTCAGAGTGAGGAAGAAGTTGGCACCCACCATCTCATCCTTCTCAGCCTTTCGCTTGCCCTGTTTCCAGGCCTTCTCGTCCGTGCTGCTGGGGCAGGTCAGAAAATGCTGGAAGACGTCGCACTGTGCCAGCACCGGGTGGCTGGCCATGTGATTCATCCACCAGATCAGGCCCTTCCTGCGCTTGGAGATGAAGTCCTCCTCGAAGCGCCCGGTGGCCTGCTTCTCAGGCAGGTGGGGCACCGAGATGACCGGGAACTTCTCGGCCAGGCGCGCGTACAGCCAGTCGAAGTGCTTGTAGCGCCGGTGCACGGGCACCTGGGTGTGCGTGGGCACCAGCTTGTACGAGATGTAGGTCTTCATGCCCTTGAACTTGGTCTGCTTGGTGGGGTCGTCGATGGTGCACTGGAAAGGGTAGGGGTTCTCCTGCCACTCGGGGCCGTAGGGCCCCAGCACCACGCACAGCTTGTCCCCGTCCTTCACGAAGCCCGACGCCTCGCCCAGCACGAAGGCCTCCCCGCCGGACTTGACGAAGGTGGAGAAGCGATTGAGGTTGCGGCTCACCGTGGCCGAGCTCTTGGCCCCGGACGCTTGAGGCTGCGGAGGCGCCGGGCCGCCGCCGCGGGAGCCGAGCGACAGGTCGGAGCGCGTGGACAGGCGGTAGCGTCCGGCCGCGCCGCCGCCGCCGCCGGCCGACGACGAGCCGTCCAGGTCCGGGTAGGCGCCGCTGCCCAGCGCGCCGGGCTCGTCGGCCACCGTGGAGCTGTCGTCCCAGTCGTCGTCCCAGTCGTCGTCGCTGCCCTGGCTGGCCTGGTAGCCGCCGTACAGCTGCTGCGGCGACGGCTGCAGCGCGCCCCCGCCGCACGGGAAGCCGGCGCCCGGCGGCTGGAAGGAGCCCGGCGGCGCCTGCGGCTGCAGCGGCGGCTGGAAGGCGGCGGGCGGAGCGGCCGCCAGGGGCTCGAAGCCCCCGGCCGGCACGTTGGCGTAGCGCGCCGGGACCCCGGGGCCGCCGTCCGCCGGGGGCCGGGCTCGGGCGCCCGGATCACCTGCACGTACGAGGCCGGGAAGAGGCCGCGATCGCCGCGGCTGTTGACCCCTTCGAGCCAGCCCTCGATGTCCCGCTCGCTGCACAGGCTCAGCACCTCGTGCTCGCGCAGAGAGATCTCTCCGGGGTTCTCCGACCTGAAGTCGTACAGCGCCCGCGCGCGCAGCGCCATGGCCCCGAGCCCCGAGCCCGGGCCGGCCCGAGGGCCCCGCGGTCAGTGCCCGCGCCCCTGCGCGCCCGGGGGAGCTGTGCGGCCGCTGCACGGCCCGCTCCGCCGCGCCCCGCGCCCCGCGCCCCCGCTCTGCTCGCAGCCCGGCTCTGCAGCTCCGGGGCCGCCGGCGGCGGCTGGGGGCGGGGCCCGGGCCGCCCACGTCCCCAGCGGCACCAATCCACCGCCGAGAGCCTCGAGCCAGGCAAAAGCAAGAGACAGCCGAGCGGCCGCGCCGGCTCCCGCTCCGGCTCCGGCTCCGCGGCCGCCGCTGCCCCCTCGTGGTGGGTGTGCAAAGGTGGCGCGCTCGGGTGGACCACGAGGCGGGCGGGTGGGTTTGGTTTTCTTTTCGGGAGGGAATTCTCTGAAATTGTTTCGGTTCTTTGGTTAAAAATAATAATAATAATAATGATAAAATCATCTCTTACAAAATGAGTATCTGTACCCACGGTAGCCGTTCCTTCCTTCTCTGACGGTTCGGAGAGAAAGCTCCTGAAACGCGGGATAAAGGCTGGCACGGTGAGGGCTCGCATTTGCACTGGTAAGGATGCGCTTGCCAGGGCTGTGTTCGCTGCAGGTACTGCTCCTCCTCTCCTTCCCGCGCCCTCTGATCATCTTGGCAAGCAGAGGGGGCGGACGGGAAGGTCGTGGTTGGACAAGAGGCAAGCGCGTGTAGGGAGAGAGCAGAAGGGCGTGCAGAGAACTCACATCCAACATGTGCACGAATGAGAGAGAGAGACAGAGACAGAGACAGAGACAGAGAGAGACAGAGACAGAGAGAGACAGAGAGACAGAGAGAGAGAGAGACAGAGAGACAGAGAGAGAGACAGAGACAGAGAGAGAGAGAGAGAGACAGAGAGAGCGCTTGGCTTGGGGCCAGGCTGCAGGAGTCATTCCATGTTCTGACACTTCCTTACACTTGACTCCCTAGAGTTGCGTGAATTCATCCTACGGGTGAAGGATGTGATGCATGCAGTCAGCGCACTTGAGTTGTTTGCCGTGCGGTTGTCATCTGGGGAAGTGCGCTTTCTGACCTCTTCCCTAAAGAGAGTAAGGGTCCCCAAATTTCAGGTACACAATAGGAAAGGTCCCCGTGTCCACACCTTCACATCTCCTCCTGTCACTGACCACTCCTCTCCTCAATAAACGCATAGTAAGTAAATCAAAGCTCACTTCCTGAGATTTTAATCAACCCGACCTCCATAGTTGCCTTGTTTCAGATCTTTTCCTTCTAGGTATGTATACTTTGCCCAAGGCTTCCTTTCTCACACTGTCCTTACTGAGTCTAGCCCCGTCCTTTGAAGAAAACCCTGACTGGGACTTTGCAGTCACAAGTTACTCATCTCATCCTGTAATCTGACCCTTCCTATGACAGTCTGGGTATCTGATCGGAAGAATAGTCCATTACCCTAAGCACTGTGGTAATCCAAGCTTCCTGTTGTAAACCACATAACCAGGACACCAGACCCCGACTGTGCCTCCTACCGCAAAACCTTAACTCAATCTCGGAAGTAATTCTGAAGTGTTCGGCATGTGACAGTTCTCAGGGAGCTATCATTGGCATTCTACTTCATCACTTGACGCCATCAGAAGCACGAAGGCGGCGCTAACTAAACAGCTTATATGATGCAGTAACTCGAGAGATGTTCATCCATGATGTTCCAGGCAAAATACAGTAAAGTCACTCCACTACTCGGCACTAAACTTTAGATTCAAGAGTTAGTAGCTTCAGGCTTATCTCAGGTGCAATAATAATTCCAGGAGCGTACATGAAGCTCTTACAGAAAGGTTGAACACCTGTGGAAGCAACAGCTAAGGACCGCCAGGGAGTTGAGTCTATTGATAGCCCAAGCGCACACATCTGTGAGAGCCAGGCTAAGGACTCGGAGCCTAAGGACTGTGTTCCAGTGACTTTACAACTGCTGTTCAAATTGCTGACTTAAGTTTATAAACGTTTGTTAAATGAATTTTGACTTGGGATTAGGAAGAATTGCTAGCCATTTGTGAAATGACCTTAAATACACTTCTGCCATTTTTTTTGTACTATAAATGACATTCAGAAGAATTGATGATTATAGAAACAAATGTCAATCAACTCTCCAAAGCATTGAGGATGCTGTGCCTTCCAGTAGTGAACATTCATCCTAGATGTAATTCTTATTTAAAAACAAACAAGCACACTTTTCTTATTAGACTGAAACTTTTGTCTTTAACTTATGGTAAAATTATATGCATGGAAAATTATTGTCTGAAATAATTGGATTATTATCAGTAAGTGATCTTTACAACGATTATATCTAAGGTTTATACATTTTTCTTGAATAAAGAAGTCATAAGTGGGAAAAGGTCGAGAAACCCTTCTCTAGAGCAGTGGCCCTCAACCTTCCTAACACTGAGACCCTTTAACACAGTTCCTCGTGTTGTGGTGGCTCCCAACCATAAAATTATCCATAACTGTAATTCATAACCGTTGTGAGGCATAATGTACATCTGATATCAAGGATATTGACCCCCAGGTTAAGAACTGCTGCTCTAGAAGTAGGACGTAATTTATAATTTAGTGCATGTAGTCACTGTAGCTATCAACAGTTCCTGTCTCCTTATGATTTAGACGTCCGAAACACCTCTATTTTCTCCCTTCCTGCAGTGCCTGGCTCCTGTCCGCCTCATCCGCTGGGCAAGCCACGCTGCTTCTTCGCTGTCTTGGGACTGCCCCTGCTTAAGCTGCTTCTTCACTGTCTTGGGACTGCCCCTGCTTAAGCTGCTTCTTCGCTGTCTTGGGACTGCCCCTGCTTTTGCCTTTGCTGTTCTCTTGCTTGGACCCCACTTACCCTAGAGGTCCAGCGTGCTGCACCCTTTCCTCATGCAGAGTCAGCCTGGCTCCATCAAGCCCCTTCCTTCCTTCCTCCCTCCTCCCTCCTTCCTCCCTCCCCCCCCCTCCTCCTTCCTTCCTTCCTTCCTCCTTCCTTCTTTCTTCCTCCTTCCTTTCTTCCTTCCTTCTTCCTTCCTTCCTTCCTCCTTCCTTCCTTCTTTCCTCCTTCCTCCTTCCTTCCTTCTTCCTTCCTCCTTCCTTCCTTCCTCCTTTCTTCCTTCTTCCTTCCTTCCTTTCTGTTTTGAAGCCCCAAGAAGTGAGATGGAGAGCACCTGTGTGCCTGGGTCCCTGAGTCTCTACTCCCAACCCTGCCCTTTGTTGGGCTAAGCCACTGAACTAGCAGGGTTGGTGTGCTGAGACAGCTGGCATTAATTACTCACCTAACACGGTCTCCCTCCCTCTGTCCCACCATCCAGAGGCCCATCTCGTTTTCTTTGTAGCACTGGCTATCTGACATCAACACATCTGTGCATATTAATTATCTCCTCCTAGTACAAAGTAAACCACTTCAGGCGGCGGTGATATTCTGAACGCCAAGGGCATAGCAATGAACAGAACAGAGTAGGCAATCAGCAAATACTTGTTTAATGATGCTTCCTCCCCCAAATGGTGTCAACTCTGAGAAGTAACCCTCACTGTGTCTGGGCCCTCCTGGTTTGATCCCTGCTGCATCCAGCTCAAGCTAAACGTTTCAAAGGGCAACTGAACAATACTTCTCATCAAGTCAACAGACTTAACACTGACTCACCCACCCAGACCACCACTGCAAACTTTCTGAGATTACTGGAAATGTCATTGAATGGGCTGAATGGGTCATTATCGTTTATACAACACTGTGTTTATATAATTACCGGAAACCATGCATATAATATGTCAAGCGTTACACAAAGGAGTGTATAAGCCCTCCCACCTCCCACCGCCATTATGTTAGTCCCTGCTGTTTTCCGGGCCGTTCCTCCAGGCACAGAACGGACACTGTTGTCAGCCACAGACTGTCTGGTCAAGGCATGTGGTTGGTGAGTGACCTAGGAGCCACTCAGCCGTCTTGAGAACTTCCATTCCCTGAGTCATGGGCCTGTGCTTTGCTGGTTCCTCAAAATTACTGTTACTATTAAAAGGGCTGAACTAGAAACTGTGTCTGAGGGCTTAGATACAGGGACAGAGCAAGCTATACGGAAGGCCAATGACTGTCCCTGGGTCTGTTGGTGACACTTGTAATTAAAACTTTACTAGGACCATTTTTTAAAAATCATTTTTCTTCACTTCGATATATGCCCTGAATACTAAGTTAAATACTCATAGAGTGGATAAATAAATGGAAAAAGTTTTCCAACCCTTATTCCTCAAAAATAGGAATAAAAAAATCTACTTCGGAGCCAGGTGCTGTCATACCTGCCTTTAATCCTAGCACTCGGGAGGCAGAGGCAACCAGAACTCTGTGAATTCCAGGCAGACCTGGTCTACATTGCAAGTTCCAGGACAGTCAGTACTACACACACAGACTCTGTCCCCCCCCCCAAAAAAAAAAGAAAAGAAAAGATCCTCAGGGGTTGGAGAGGTGCCTTGAGTCTTAGTAGTACTGGCTGCTCTTTCAAGGGACCTAGGTTCCATTCCCAGCACCCACACACAGCCCACGACTGTGAGCCCAGCCAGCATCTGTCTGTAACTCCAGTTCTCTAGCATCTGTCTGTAACTCCAGTTCTCTAGCATCTGTCTGTAACTCCAGTTCTCTAGCATCTGTCTGTAACTCCAGTTCTCTAGCATCTGTCTGTAACTCCAGTTCTCTAGCATCTGTCTGTAACTCCAGTTCTCTAGCATCTGTCTGTAACCCAGTTCCTAGCATCGCTGTAACCCAGCCAGCACGCGTAACCCAGCCAGCACGTCTAACCCACCAGCACGCGCCAGTCCAGCACGCGACCCAGGCCGTCACCCAGTCCGCCGTCGAACTCCAGTTCTCTAGCATCCGATGCTCTCTCCCTCTGGCCTCTGGTCACCAGGCATGCAGGCAAAATATCCACATGCATAAAATAAAACCTAAAAACCTTTTAGATCCCCTCCCTTGGGTCAGGTCAGGATTTAATGAAATAGTAACTTTCTTTGACTACTAATAACAGTAAGAGGCAGGCCAGTTTTTT